CCCCAAAACCCCAAAACCCCAAAACCCCAAAACCCCAAAACCCCAGACCATATAATAATTAATAGGATTTAAAATGGATTCTGGTCCAGAGTACATCTCTGACAAATATCTTGAAAGCGAGGAAGTAGCAGAATACGAAGCTGGTAGACCTCTTAGTTTCTTTGAAAATTTAAAGAACAATGAAAAGAAGTTAAGATACGAGTTAGCAATGTTGAACCACATCTCTATGACTGATGAACACGAAGAAGCTCTTATTCCTCATGAAAAGGGAACTACTTCTCACCTTAACAGATACTGCGATATACTTCCATACAAGAGCACAGCTGTGATCTTAGATACAGCTGGACATGATGGAGAGAACTCATATATTAATGCCAACTATATCCCTGGATGCTTAGGGGAAAAAGATAGTTTTATTGCCTGTCAGGGTCCTAAATCCAATACAGTTAAAGATTTTTGGAGAATGGTCAGACAAGAAAATATCGGAGCAATCCTCATGCTTTGTAAAGTTTACGAGGACGGTCGCCCAAAATGTGAAGAATATTGGCCAGAAAAGGACCAAAGCTTGGTCTTTGATGAAATTGATCTCAAAGTTCAGTGAGATGATGAGAAAACAGAAGGAGAAGCTCTATACCACAGAGATTTTTCACTCATCGATACTCAGAACGATGAAGTTATTTCAAAAATAAAGCAAATTCATTACACTGGATGGCCTGATCATGGAGTTCCAAAGAAACAGGGTTTGGATGATTTCCAAACTTTGGTAGAAAATTCTTATAGTCAGTACAAAACAGCTTCAGAGAATAACTCCAAAGTATTGATTCATTGCAGTGCTGGAATTGGAAGAACCGGAACTCTGCTCTCAATTCTTAACATAGTCGCTGATATTGAGAAAAAGAAAGAACAAGAAGAGGAAATCTCAAATATTTCAGTGTTTTCTGTCGTAAGAAAGCTGAGAGAGCATAGATTCCATTTAGTGCAATCTGAATCTCAGTACATCTTTATCTACCAGTTTCTTGCTAAGTACCTGAAGAATTTATAATCAAAGAAGGAATTCATATTTCAACTCAACTACAGCAGTGGGGTTTTGGGGTTTTGGGGTTTTGGGGTTTTGGGGTTTTGGGG